CGCGAGTGATCCTACGCTACGAAGTAACTGTTTGAAGAAGTTAGCACATGCTATTTTAACAATGTTTTCATCTACCTATGCCTGCGAGTCATTGTTTTCAGAGATGAATAACATTAAAAACTCGTTTAGAAACCTTTTGACAGATGAATCCAGTTCAGCATGCATTTTGCTAAAAGTAGCATCTTACAACCCTAACATAAATTATTTGTTATCAAACCTGCAGCAACAGAAGTCACACTAATTTTACAGTAACCTAATTTATGCGTGTAATAAAAACATTCCAGAATGTGTCTCTTTGGTTTACTTTATTTCATAAAGATTTCTGATAGTATTTATATTATTATCTTTTAAATAATCATAAAGTCAAAATTATTTGATGGCATGCCAATGACCCAATTAAAGATTTTTTAGAAAAAATGGCACGTTGATTCATAAAGGTTCGCCTACCCTGGTGTAGGATAATATAGACGAACGCGGAAGTCTCAAAGTTGCGTATAGTTGCGATCGCTGCTAAAATCACAGCCACCATGAACTTTGATCGTCACTGGACAATTATTCAGCTCAATAGCGTAGGTAATTCAGCGCGTTCGGCCTGCGATCGTAGATGTTAAGCAACCTTTGTAATGGTCGGTCATTGGATGGATGACCAAAAACTTATTGAAATGAAAAGTCATTTATTCAGTCTAGGCTGTTACAAGCACTTGTGAAGGTCAAGAAGCTACGCCATCGGTTCGCAAAACTACGGCGGGAGACCTTGTACTGAGAAGAACCGGCAAGAAACTCAGCAAGGGCTGCTTTTGTCTCCCTGCATTGATATATACAGAGTCGTCAAGTTGAAAAATGACTTCAGCGATACTTCTGAAGTCACCTATCTCATCTACAGTCACCTATTTATGATCTAGAGCCTCCAAGCTTCGGAAGTTGTGTTAAGCCTTTGATCCTGGTAGTATCTGGTGTTGTTAGCACCCACTGCTCCCTATTCCATTCATAGGGAAGATCTATGCTCCAGCAGTGGGGACATTAATAGGCTGATGATGATGATAAGATTATTGAATAGAGTTATAATGATGATGTTTGTTATATAGATGAAGAGTATGCCACGTTCGTGCCATTCCGTCATTTGGATCGGTTTTCCCATTGCGTGGACGCAGAGGGAGGTGCCTACTGCACCGCCGACTTCAAGCTGGTCGCAGACGGGCCACACGAGCTTTATGATAAGATGCTGGTAACTTATGATTGCTTATCTTACTTTCTTTTTATGGCGGTATTTGCAGATTCTTGAGGAGCTCGATGGCGCAAGTGGTTAGCGCGTTCGGCTACGATCGTTGAAGCTAAGCAACTTTCGCAGTGGTCGGTCATTGGATGGGTGACCAAACATTTACTATCTCGAGCTCCTCCGTGCTTCGGAAGGCACGTTAAGCTGATGGTCCTGGCTGCATCTGCAGTCGCACCCACCAATCCGCACTGAGCCTGCGTGGTGGGTCATGGCCCAATCTCCCTATTCCATCCATATGGAAAGCCTGTGCCCCAGCAGTGGGGACATTAATAGGCTGATGATGATGATGATTGCAGAGTCTCTGTTTACGTCTCCCTACAAACGCGGACAAGGGAAACCTTTTATTTTGGTGTCCTATAACCCGCTGACATATGGATGATTTTGTTTCATTAGGCCTCTTGTCTTGTTGCGATTTGCTGGGGACCAAGCAAGAATTGTGACAGCTCCTTCATCCTCTGATGGGGTTATTCCATTAATCCCCATTGATTTGCCCTGCCCCCATTATCAATTTGAGTAGCATCGAATGGGGATAAGTGGAAAATAAGTTTACAATCCCCCATTGAAGGGGGAAGTCAATGGGGATTTGTGACATGACCCCGTCCGATGTCCGAATAAGAGGCTTTATTTGTTTGTGCCAATTTGTAGACAGCTGAAATTTTTAAAGAATATATTTTTCTGATGCTGGCGCTGGTATAACGACAAAGTTTACTAGAAAAAAATCCACGCGGACCAGGCAGCAGACGGGACTCGAACCCGCGCCCTTCGCTATCCGGGCGAATGCACTGACCATTATGCTACCGCGGCCCCGACGGCCGTGTCGAATTTTTCCTAGCCATTAGGCTGCAAGGCAGCGCCATCTCTTCGCATTGTAGGTAACCCACAATAAGACAAGGTAACAAGCCTAATGGCTAGGAAAAAAATTCGACACGGCGGCCGTCAGGGCTGCGGTAACATAATAGCATTCGCTCGGATAGCGAAGGGTGCGGGTTTGAGTCCCGTCTGCTGCCTGGTCAGCGTGGAATTTTTTCTAGTAAACCTTTCTTTAGATTTAAATAATAAAATTATTGTACTTTCTTATTATTTTTGATTAGTTTTTTAGGGTTCCGTAATGGTGAAAAAAACCCTATTACTAAGGCTCCGTAGTCTGCTTTAGGGTTCCGTAGTATTGACGAGGAACCCTTATAGTTTCGTGTTGTCCGTCTGTCTGTCCGTCTCCGGTTTTGCTTGGAGACTCGCTTAGCACTAGATAGCTGTAATTTTGTGGACATATGTATATCAATCATGCCGACCCAATGGTAGAATAAAATTTAGTAAAATATATTTTAGGGTATTTCCCCTGCATGCAACCTGGAGACGATTTAAATTTTTTCATCGTCTACCTCATCGTGTGGGGTATCGTTGAATAGGTCCTTTAAAATTACTTAGGGACTCCTAAGACTTTTTTCAATTAAAGAATCCGTTTACGAAATATTAAACTTTAAAGTGCAAATTTTGGTTCGTGTAGGGCGTCACCCCTTTAAATGTTAAAGTATATTATTATGAATTTTTCCAAGTTATTCAAGCCATATATATAGTTATATGGCTAAATTCATAATAATAGTACTTTTCATGAACTTTTAAGGAATATTATAACGCTTAAAACAGATTCGTTGGTTTAAAAGTAATAGCCGTTCAACTTATGTATTTGAAAATTTCTGACCTTATAAAAACTACTTTGGAGAAAACATTAAAAGTGACTTAGACGAAGTAATTAATAAAAATATATACACTTTCCAAAATATATTATGGTGACAACGAGCAACCACGGAACCCTACACTGTGCGTAGCACGACACGTACTTGGCCGGTTTTTGTCTGGTCACTTATATCATGCAGCGCAATAAGTGTCTGATTGTATTACAAAGTGTCTGATTATATTACAGACAAAAATGCTTGGGTTTGATATGTTCCAATCATTCCAACAGGTTGTCTATATTAATATAATTATAATTTTGTTTTTTATTGTTCTAACTAAAGTATTCAAATCAGAAATCAATATATCTTTATTCAAATTGGATGTATAGTACAACACTTTTGGATCGTCCAAACATTTTTTTTTTCCTACCACTCGTTATTGGACATATTTTTTAGCTGCGGAGAAAAACGAGCGAAAAAAACTCCACAACATTAAAAGTATAATGTAACAACATTTACAAATCATTATGTTGTTACAACGTCAATACAATAATGTTTTATTTAATAGTAGTATTATATCGTGATTTTCTAACGTTTTTGCTGAACCTAGTGTTGCTGTAACTGTATTAATTATTAAGCAGAGATTGAAGAATATCGAAAAAGAAAAATTGTGTATGGATAAAACTAGTTTTAACGGGTTAATGCACGAAACTTTATTTATTTATTGACGTTTCGCAGCCTTTTCAGGCTGCTTCGTCAGAATGATTTTTTGAAACGTCAATAAATAAATAAAGTTTCGTGCAATAACCCATTAAAACTATTTCATGAGTGATGTGCGTGAAAAACTAAGAAACAAATATTGTGTATGGATGCTTAATTAGATGTATGTGAATTTACTTCGAGGAGCTCAATGGCGCAGGTGGTTAGCGCGTTCGGCTGCGATCGTTGTAGTTAAGCAACTTTCGCAGTGGTCGGTCATTGGATGGGTGACCAGAAAATTCTATCTCGAGTTCCTCCGTGCTTCGGAAGGCACGTTTGGTCCCGGTTGCACCTGCAGTCGTTAGCACCCGCCAATCCGCACTGGGCCCGCGTGGTGGGTTATGGCCCAATCTCCCTATTCCATCCATAGGGAAGGCCTGTGCCCCAGCATTGGGGACATTAAGAGGCTGATGATGATGATGATGAATTTAGTCTTGTGAAAATTACGCACCATGCAACGGAGCGTGCGGAAATAGTTATATTTTATGACTAGTGGCCCGCCCTCGCTTCGCTTCGGTGTAGATCTGTAGCGTAGTAGACTATAGTATAGTAGACTATAGTTTTTGTTCTCAGGCGTGTATCGTACACAATGAATTTATTTATTTAATTCTTTTTATATGATTATTTTTTTATTGAATAGGTAATAATGTTAACTTTTTTAAATTAGGGATGAGTGAGAGTATTATAAACGTAAGAGTAAACAAATATAATCAGAATGCTCCGAACTGCTAAGCTATGAGGAGTTACACGTGTTATTGTGAGTCAACCATAAAAGATAGACATAAGCTGTTGCGGGATATTTTTTAGACAATTTGATGTAAAATATTTCCGTCATACATGATTTCTATGTAACTTTAACCATTAAGTCTGCACACGCGACGGAAGCTTAAAAAATGGAGTAACTTCTCCCGTTTTCCCAACATTTCCCTTCACTACTCTGCTCCTATTGATTATAGCGTGATGAAAAGTATACTATAACCTGCCCAGGAGTATGAAGAATAATTGTACCAAGTTTCGTTAAAATCCGTCGAGTAGTTTTTGTTTCTATAAGGAACATACACACAGACAGACAGACAGACAGACAGACAAAAATTTTACTGATTGCATTTTTGCATCAGTATCGATCACTAATCACACCCTGATAGTTATTTTGAAAATATATTTCATGTACAGAATTGACCTCTCTACAGATTTATTATAAGTATAGATACACGTGCGGAAAGAAGTTATTACGAATAAGTTCCATCAGCATCAGGTATATTATATTTTTTACTTTATGAATTTTCTTATAGAATTACTCGTACTCCGCGAGGAGACATTTCGATTATACGAATCCGCGTTACGGGTACTGCATCACGAGGCGCTGCAAGCAGTTCTACAAGGGGGACTCGGAGTCGGAGCTCATTGAGGCGATGAGCTCCTGCCTCAACCACACCCTAGAACAGAAGTATGGACTGCGCGCGCGCATAAAGTTCGGCATGTGTTTCCGGCACGGCGAGCAGAAGTACTCTGTCACGTGGCTGGACCTTTTCGCCGCTGCTTTCTTCTTTACCCTGGTTGGCCTCGCAGCTGCCGGTACCATCTACGACTTAAACGCCACCGAAAAGGATACAAAAGGTTTGCAGATATTCCTTAAGAGGGGGAGGCGGGTATTTTTTTTATCATACAAAGGTTCTTCACTGATTCCTCTTTGGTTTTTATCACTAAAGAATTGAGTTTCATACATAAAATATAATTTTACTCATTCTATGCTCCCATGTCTTAACTTTTTCCATAACGTGTGTTTCAAAGAAACTAGAAGCCCTTGAAGAAGGCCAAAATGCATTATTTATCATCACTACGTGCTTTTTAGTGTGGAGATGTGGCATAAGAGAAAAGCCTTATCGAATTTATTTCTTATTAAATTAAAAAGGTCCTCAAAAAGAATATCAGGATCATCACGTGTCCGTGGGATATGAGAAATACTATCATCAATATGTTTTTGAAAAATTTTAACCGTTTTTCTGTTACTGGCTCTCAATTCTATGACTTTAGGTTCGTTTGTTACATCTATTTATTATGTAATTATCAAGCCATTATGGTCAGATGTAAAAAACAGACTTATTATCAGGAATATTATCTGTAAAAACGTTATTCAAACAAGTAGCTGAATGTGATGTCACCCTAGTAGGATAAAATTAAAACATTTAAATAGTGTTTTCAAGAATATTAATGTTTAATTCACCGCAAACAACCAAAAACTTATTTTTTGACTTTGTCTTTTTAAGTACATCCTCCATCACAGATTCAAAAATTTTTAATTATCTAGAGGGGATCTCGCATAATACATATTTCAGAAATAAGTTGTTCAGTATATAAAATATATAGAAATAAGTTGTTCGAAACGAAAGTAATCTATAAAAATACTTTTACGCGTGTCACAATCGCATGCTTTTCAATTCAGTCTCATTATTATTAATCAAATATTTGTACACAATATTTTGTACACATATTAAGCTTACGACACCAGGACACGTAATATCATTGTTTATTTCTTAATTTTAATATTTGTTTCTTAGGTTTTCACGCACGTCACTCATTAAATAAAACTAGTTTTTACGGGTTAATGTACGAAACTTTATTTATTTATTGACGTTTCGCAGCCTTTTCAGGTCTGCATCGTCAGAATAATGTTTTTTTTTTTTATTTAAAATTGTCGAGCTACCTTCGAAAGACTTATATTGAGCGTTCGGTTATTTCATTGGAAGATTTTTAAATTTTATTGTCTATGTAAGAATTTATTATTTAATTTACTTATTAAAGTATTTTATTTAAAATTCTTGTTTGTAATTTTGAGTTTATTTATTTGACCCTAACTACCGTAAACTACCAATCGTCAATAAATAAATAAAGTTTCGTGCATTAACCCGTAAAAACTAGTTTTATCTTAATTTTAACTTTGATTTTTTTTAAACATTTTTTTTGCTATGTTCTCTCAGGGTATCTGATGTGTTTTTCAATACCGGCCAATTGGAAGAAATTGAAGGCTCCCTGGCCCCAGGACAAGATGACCGGTCGAATGATGGTCTTCAACGGATTCAGGTGATATTTGCATTCATTCTTAAATTCATCTGGATCAACTGGAGGAGAACGGGGAACACTTACTTTATGACATTGACTCCGCTATTTGCTGTTTTTTTACAATAAAGCATAAGGTATTGTGGAAATGTTACTATAGATACCCAGCATAGGTCTTAGAGTAAAAAAAAAATAAAAAGTGTAAGATGGTAAAAAGTTAAGAGTTCTCTTGTACCATTCGAGACAAGACTGGGTACACTTTTTTCTTCAAGTGTTGATTTCCCATACAAAGTTTCACTCCCTATTAACTTTTACGGAAAAAAATGCACTTAATCAACATTATGCAAGTACACGACGACCCTCCGTGGCCGAGTGGTTTGTACGCCGGGTTTCATGGTGTCACCAACTCGAGAGGTCCAGGGTTCGAATCCCGGTAGGGGCAGATGTTTGTGTGATGAATACGAGCATTTGTACTCCAGTCATCGATGTTTAATATGCATTTCTATATAAATATACTTATACTAGCTGACCCAGCGAACTTCGTACCGCCCTAAAAAAATAGGGGTTGTCCAGCGGACAAAATTGTGAATCTAAACCATTCTCAGATCCCCTTGAACACACACAAAAAATTTCATCAAAATCGGTCCAGTCGTTTAAGAGAAGTTCAGTGACATACACACTCACAGAAGAATTATATATATAAAGAATATGCACAGTATATATATTCAATCCGTGTATTCCGTAACACAAGCCTTACAGTCCTTACTTTGGGGCAAGGCTAACTGGGGGCCAATCGCCTAACGGAAATGCTTTGGGAAACGCTAACGCTTACGATTTTATATTGTTATTTCTAGCCGACTGAGGTTTTCGAATACCTCACGCTCATTTTTTTTAATATTGTTATTACCAATGCAAAAGAAAAAGAAAGAGCGCGAGGCATTTGAATACCTCAGGCGGCTAGAAATAACAAAATAAAATCGTAAGCGTTAGCGTTTTCCAAAGCATTTCAGTTAGGCGATTGGCCCCCTGGTGTGAGTGTTAGAAATATTTATTTATTTACTTCTCCCATGTTTCTTTCGTATTCCTACCAACCGATTTTTTTTAAATCCAGTTTAACAATTGAGGTTGAAAAAAGAATGACAGATAAAGTTCATTTTTGCGTTTCATAAGCTTATAATAAGTGTATTTAAATTCACAGAACAATAACTGCAATAATGGTGGTAATAATGCATTCGCTCGTCCACGCCATCACTCCAGTTGAAAATCCGGCTTACCATGAAGAGGTGAGTATACAATTTTTCACGATGAATTTAATTCAACTACATATTAGATAAATATTTGTTTCATAGGTTTTCACGCACACCACTCTTTAAATGAAACAAGATACAACGGAATAGATGCGCTGATTAAATTAGTTTCTTGAAGTTTCGCATCATTTTCAGGCTGCGTCATCAGAATTATAAAGACGTAGCATAAATTCAAGGATTTCAAGTATAATTTTGACAACGAAATCCATAAAGGATGCACAACGTCGAGAAACAAATAAATCACGCCACAGCCACAAACGCCGCCGCGAGGAGCTAGAAGCGGGCTACTAAAGTGGCTGAAGCGCGCGACAGCTGCCGACTAAGGGAGAGAGGGGTGGGGAATCGCGCGAGTGACGTGTGGCGGCGTTTTGTATCGACGCATTAAGTGGTCGGTGTGGGCCACAAGAAGCGAGCAACGACGATTTGTAGCGCGTGGCGGCCACCGGCGTACCGTGTGGTGCGAGTCCATATAAAACGTATGAAAACTTCAAGAAATATGCCGGTGGCGGCTTTTTGTGGTTGTGGTTGGTGGCCCGTGTGTGGCGACACTTATCGTTAAAACTTGTTTTTATTTTTTGAGATAAATTGTAAAATCCCCACCCCAAAAGGGAGAACAAAGCTCTTTTAACGCTATTTGCTTTCCGTCATCGTTCTCAATACCGAAAGCAAATCGCAATTATTTAATTTAGAAAGCAAATTAAATTGAAGCTGTCAAAACAAAAGAATTGCAAAAGGCGGTGCCAATGCTTTTGCACCACACTTTGACATCCTTGATGTTCATACTATAAATATTAAAATATAATAAATATATGTATATTTCCAACACTCAGACCAATTAGCCTGGCCTCAAAGTAAGCACTGTAGGGTTGTGTTATGGGATACTAGGGTAACGGATAGAATACATATATAAGTATATTCATATAGGAATACATATTAAACATCAATGACAGGAGTACAAATGTTCGTATTCATCACACAAACATCTGCCCCCACCGGGATTTGAATCAGGGAACTCTCGTGAGGCGACACCTTGAAACCGGCGTGTTATGTACGCCGGTTTCTCACGGCCACGGAGGTCGTCAGACTATTTGAAGCACTTGCGGTGTCAGAGCCAGATTTAGAGGTGTGAGGCCCTAGTGCATCAAAATAGTGACAGTCAGAACCTAAGATGGTGACCCATCGAAATTTGATTATTCTTTATATCTATAGCAATTTTTTTAGCCATAAATCCGGCCATGTGCATCGTCTATTTATTCTGGGTCTGTGGATAAAACCTGATCTGATTTTATTTCCAGATGCTTGAATCGGAAGTGTCCGTCCTCGCGACCAACACTCCCATCGTGATGCAGACCTTCTTCTTCATGTCAGGGCTGTTCTTGGTGTACACCACGCTGATATCCAACGATAGGGTCCCGATGACCTGGCGGTCCTTGCCCAAAACTATATTTCTTCGGTGGCTGAGGTAAATTGATATCAATTTAAGTCCACAGATTTGTTTGACGAATGCTGATATGTTAACTAAGTAATTTTCTTTTATATTTCTAATATATAGCGTAATGCTGCGGTGACTTCAGAATATTGAACTAACTTCAATAAAAAAAAACGACGGGTTGCACTCCGGGAGTGCCGGCAGAAGTGAAAACTTGAATATTAACGCTGTGCATTTTTGATATTTTTTAGAATGGTTAGGGAATAATTTTGCACGAATTGCTTTAAGTATCAGTATAAAAGTACAATCATGTATGTGGTAAAATACAATATTTATTTATTGCGCTATCGTACACAAACATGACAATTTATATTACGTTAAAAAAGTTTATCACTCAGAAAAATCAACTTACATGAATCACGTTTAAGAGCACTTAGCGACATCTATTGTAAAGAAATCAACTTACAAGAATCACATTTAACCTAGCGACATCTATTGTAAAAAATGCATTTTCTTCGCAATAAAGCTGCCACGTGGACGTCCTGGATAGAGACTTATTATTATAATAATACGGTAAAATAAAATATTACTATGTTTCGTCTAATATATTGACAGTCAACAACCTTTCCAATTTTTTTGTGTGTCATGATGCGATCAGCCCACGTGTTTAACCTGACGCGAGTTTAACATTTTTTACCCATACAAAAAAAGTGTACAACGCTGCTAAAGAAGTTTTCACTTCAAAAATAAAGTTTCGTTGTTTCAATGCCAGCCCTCATGCATTTTGCTCCAATTGTCCTGGGGTCGAGCGTGCCGCGGCAGCGGCCAGTGAAGCGCCAGAAAAAAAATCTGTTAAAAAAGACCTTTTCTACAAAAAAAAACAAGTATCACCTTTTGGGCCCTGGAAGTACAGTTTTACCAATCAAAATTATAACTATGAACATTATTGTTTCAAGGTTAGCGCCCGTGCACCATGTCATGCTGCTATACTCTCTGACGTGGTTCAAGTTTGTGCCGCTCGGTCCATTGTGGCAGGTAATAATAGCTTATGAAATAAGTTTCTATAAAGTAATAGGTTTCCACAATATTTGTGTCATAGGCTACGTGACCAAAATTGTAAATTCAAATTTGCATTCAAACAAGCATCTGTGCATGTCAAAAAGCTACGCCATCGGTTCGCAAATCTACGGCGGGAGACCTTGTTCTGAGAAGAACCGGCAAGAAACTCAGCTGTTGTTTTTTTCTCCCTGTATTATATACCGAGTCGTGTATTATCTCGTGTTCCTTCCACAGGCGTAGAAACCTCTCCGCCTACCCTAAATTCGAGAATTAAGAATCATTTAATACGAAGGAATGTCAGTTCAACTGGACTGACTGCCCCTATATGAAAAATCCTTAGGTACGCCCGTGGTTCCTTCATGCTTAGGAATGCACGTAAAGCTGTCGGTCCCGGCAGTCACGAGCTCCCGCCAATGCAAGTGAAGGCGTGTGACCCAGCAATGAGATAAAATAATAATAAATAAATAAATATTTCCAACACACACCAATTAGCCTAGTCCCAAAGTAAGCACTGTAGGCTTGTGTTATGGGATACTAGGATAACGGACAGAATACATATACTGATACATATATATTATATTTATATAGAAATACATACTAAACATCCGGCAATGCTCGTATTCATCACACAAACATCTACTTTTGTTACTAACACTATGGATAAATGTCCGAAATAAATGATGTTATTATTATTTAGGTATTCAATAATTGCACTCTTTTTATATATTAAATAGTAGCAGTTAGTGTCGCCGCACACATGCCATACGCCACAGCCACAAAGCCGCCACGAGAAGCTAGAAGCGGCTACTAAAGTGGCTGAAGCGCGCGACAGCGGCCGACTAAGGTAAGGGAGAGAGGGGTAGGGAAGCGCGAGTGACGTGTGGCGGCGTTTTGTATCGGCGCATTAAGTGGCCGGTGCGGGCCACGAGAAGCGAGCAACGACGATTTGTAGCGTGTGGCGGCCACCGGCGTACCGTGTGTGGCGAGTCCATATAAAATGTATGAAAACTACAAGAAATATGCCGGTGGCGGCGTTTTGTGGTTGTGGTCGGTGGCCCGTGTGCGGCGACACTTAGGCTCAATGAACAACGTAATCAATGCTGAATTTATTATTATTAAAGTTAAATAAAAAAAACTAAATGCAGGGCGCGGTGGACGATGAGGTGCGGGACTGTCAAAAAAGCTGGCCCTCCTTGTTGATGTTCTACAATAACTATATATTCGGACAGAGGTGCAACATACATCACTGGTAGGTAAAACCACAGAACAGACATTTTATTGTAAAACTCTCTAGGTTTTTGTATTAACAGTGTTTAGAGAAACCCATTTGGAATAAGAATTAATTGAAATTATTCAAATAGTTAATCATTTAAAAATCCCAATTCATTGTGATTTGAAATTCGTGTACTAATTTTCACACCGCGGATTCCGAGGTAAGTGAATGGTTCTTACATAATAATTCATACTAAATTTAGCTTTTTTTTAACGAGGGGGTTAAATAAACCCCTCTTTAAAAAAAAAGCTAAATTTAAAAAATCATAAAAAAACCCGACTGCTTAAATATTACTTCAAATAAAAACTGAAAAGAAAAAAAATAGTCATATTTAAGTAAGGAGCAAAGCTACTTTAACAGTCGGGACTCATTATTGAAAAAAATAGATCCATCCTTGAATATCTAATGGGTCCCGACTGTTAAAGTAGCTTTGTTTCTTACATAATGCGTAGTACTCCCATGATTAAGACGAACCAATTGATGTATAAATCATTAGAATGTGTCCACGCGTTTGGTCTCTAGTGTGCCACAAAGGAACATACATACATTTAAACACTGTTAAACACTATACCCTGTCTGCGCGTCGCGCTTCGCGCTCTTGCATTCCGCAGTCGGGTAAAACAAAAGGACATGTGCTGTTTACATGCGATAGAAGTGAAACCTTTCGAAAAAAATAATAGCTTAATAAAATAAAAAAAAAAAACCGAGCTCAGTATCGAACCACCGATTATTTGGTGTCGACCCCAAGACCATTACCGTTTGGCTATGCAGAAACTTACGGATACCTTGTGTCAAATACTGTCGCTTTTTCGTTTCATCGAGTTTCAAATCACAACAGTGCTAAAGAAGCTTTCACTTTAAAAGCCGAAGAATAAGCTAAGACTAGTTACGCGGTGTTTTGCTCATATCACTCAAGTGTCATTTGTCATTCATTCAATGAACAGAGACAAAACATAGAGTAACTAATCTAAGCTTAGTCTTCGTTTATTAATAAGGCGGTAAAAGTATAGGTAACAACAATTTCGAAAGAAATACTTTTAGAACCTGGGTTCCAAAGCGGGGGGGGGGGGGGGGGGGGGTAATTACCCCTCCGGGGGTAAATCAGCCATACTTCGGGGGTAACAAAGAACCAAATTATTTGGTCAAATCCAAATAATAAGAAAATACTATATAATAATACTACTAAATAGAGCATGCGCTCCTTCTTGCTAGCAAGACCGCGGGGTCCTGAGTGTGGGAAGCGGGGCGAGATTTTCTCCTGATGATGACATTATTAGAGACGAAGATGTAGCGGCCAAATTGGAATTTCTTGGACTGATGATAACATTTCAAAGTCGGGGTAAAATCTGCTTTCCGAATAGGTTACAGGGGTAGCCGTATTGGAAAGGTTAGGAAACACTGCTTTAGAATCTGTGCGGAAAGAGAATGGGAATCAGATTGGAGGGCGCTGTAGTGCTTTTCTACCGTATTTGTAAGGTTTTACCCCTTTTAGACATGATTAAATACAAAAAACCGCAAGAAATCACAACAACAAACAAAACCGTATCAATACAAAACTTTGACGTTTTAAAGATTGCTGGGTTTTGATTGCCAAATAAAAATCTTAATGTTAGTTCCGTTTTTCGCCACGCCCATTCTCTTTCCGCACAGACTCTACATGTATTATAATATTATAGAAAAGATTATAGAAAATGAGATTATAGAAAAGTAACATTTATATGTAAGCTTTTACCAAAATACATAGAATACATTAAGAAATTAATTCACCAGGTCCACAGCAGTCGATATGCACGTGCACATCTTAGGGCTGTTGATCCTGGTGCTGTCCCCGACGGAGAGGATCCGGGACGCGATGATATGGCTCCTCACCATCGTCGGCATCTTGCTGCCGGGCATCGAGACCATCAGGAAGAACCTCGAAGGCTGCTTCATCATGGGCTTTAAGTACTAACACCATCAGTTATTATCATCAGTCTATTATTAATGTTCCAACGGTAGGGACGCAGGCTTTCCCTCTTGACAAAATACCGAGAACCGACTATGAAGCACCTCGCGTGGCCAGAGCTGATTGCTAACGAATGAAGGTGTAAGCGAAACTAACTGCTTAACGTGTTTCCAAAGGATGGAGAAGCTTGAGATAATGCATTTATGGGCATAAAGTGTGATCGTATGATGACCGGTCACTGCGAAAGTTACTCTAGCCATTGCACTATATTTATAAATAACAACATTTAATAAAGAATTGAGGAGCTTGATGGCGCAAGTGGTTAGCTCGTTCGACTGCGATCATAGTATCTGTATGATAAAAGCCGGGGTTCGGCGACTTACCGCAAACGCTCCTTACACCGCCACGGGTACCTAGGGATAGGCTTCAGAACGGGGTTCGTCAACGCTCTTGGGAAACTATTGCCGGCAATGTATCGCACATAGGAGTCCACAGGTCAGAAGGTTCACGATATCTTCCAGAGAAAATGGGTACTCTCACTTGATGTAACGGAAATTCGTTTAGAGCTGTTGATAGCTGCTTACACGTCGGGGACTCGAAGTGAACTACTCGCACATTGGTGCCGGCGTCGGCCGTAAAGTCGTACCAACACACAAGGCACAGTGGTAGGCTCAGAACGAAAATACGGTTTGTCACCTACCCCATACATAAATAAAAAAAAAGAAAAAAATACAATCTTCCAATATGTGTTGCTTT